AATTATTTCAATTAAGTTTTTCATAATTTTTAAATTAAGGGAAGCTTAGAGTCTTAGGTTTTGAGAGTATCTTGTGTGGGTGTAAGTCACCCATGTATCTTTTGATACTATGTGATAGACTGATTGTTACCTGAAAGTTTGTCAAGTTATTATTCTCACTCTAAAGCTTTTAAGCAAAGAGTTTAGTTTTGTTGTATTGGAAGTGCAATCTTCTTGTTAAGTTGTTCTTGATATAGTCACTAGGATTGAGATTGATAGATATCAGTGAGGTGAATAGGAAGTGAGATGGAATTTCTTATATCTTGATGGTGGTTTATAGGTAGAAGTTGCACTGGGTAGGGATTAAGTGAGAAGTTGTAAACTGGGACTGTTTAGGCTTTGAATTGATACTACTAATAGTGGATTTCCTTCCTGACTTGGTAGCCCCTATAGTAGGTGATGTTGCACCGAACTTGGTTAAGAATTCTCTATGTTATTTATCATTCTACAATTTAATTTCAATATTAATCACAGCTTGACAAATCTATTCAGTTTGTCAACAAATATTGTAACATATGTCTTGACATTGTTCTGATGTTGGGATATCAATATTAACATGTTTTGCATGTACCAGAAATTTCAATTTTGTTAACATTTGTTTCATCCTTCTACTGAAGTAATGGATGAGAGACCATCTAGGTTGAGACATGGCAGGCTTGCATAACATGCTTATGTGCAGAGGGAAAATAGTTAGGTGTCTCGGGCTCCTTTTGCTTCTGGACAGGTTGTGTCGGATGCTCCTACAAGTTTTGGTGTTCATGTTTCTACGCCTACTTCATCATCCTTCCGCAGCAGGTGAGGTTCTCCAGCTCATCCCTCCCCGCCTACGTCTTCATGTAGATGCACTGCCTCACTGATGGTACTTGAGGCGGGAGAGACGTCAAATTCACAGTCGACACCTGAGGCCACACAGCCGACACCTTAGGCCACCTAGATAACACCTGAGGCCACCCAGCCGTCACCTGATGCATCCCAGCCACAATATGTACTCCATCCTTAGTCACAAATGACACTTGTGGAGGCAGCTGAGACGAAAGGTTTTGGAGGAGGGCCTTCTGATTTATCATTGTTGCCTCTATACGCGGACCATGTTGCCAGACATATCTGAGACAAATAGGTATGAATTTTGTATTGTTTATTCTATCAATTTTTTGTTGAATTTAATTTATTATTGTTTTGTTGAATGAATATTGTTAAACCATGTTTGCAGGAACGTGATCCACTGAAGATCATTAATCATGCGAGGAAGATCACTAAGATTGTAGCTCCCCCTGAGCCATGGTTTCAAGAGCTCTCCTCATTTGTGGGTATAATACCATTAATCATGGTATTATTAATGATTTTGTTGAGAGATGGCACCATGAGACGCCATCGTTCCATTTACTACATGGTGAGATGATAATTACATTGGACAGCATCGTGTGTCTGCTGCATATTTCGATAACAAGGGAGGTTTTTAGACCATGAGAGGTGTGACAAATAGGAGGTATTGGAGTTGTTGGTAGAGAATTTGGGAGTTATCCATGAGAGCGTTATGGCTGAGATGGACTCCACTTGTGGTGCTCACGTCAGATTTAGTTATTTGAAGAGTGTGTTCACGACTGAGCTACAACGTGCACGATATGTTGATGGTGATCCCAAGCATATAGACCATCACCGGAGGTGTGCTATGCGATCATACATTTTGTATCTGGTTGGCACGACCATTTTTGTGGATACTAGTGACACTTACACTGATGTCATGTACCTGCGATACATTAACGATTTTGACCAGATCCATGAGTGGAACTGGAGGACTGCTTGTTTGGGGTACTAGTACCATAATTTGACTGGAGGTTGAAAATGGAAGACAAAGCAGATGACCGGTAGCATCACACTTCTCACAGTAAAATTTCTTGGTCTTATATTGTTAGTGTATCATTTTGCTAAGTATTGTGATGTCGTTACTAACTAATAATTCTTGTTATTTCAGGCTTGGATCCTACAACACTTACCTCGCATATCCAGTTGGTCACTTGATCCTAAGTATACTAAAGAGGAGTCTCATGTCGCTGCATTCGACCCGCTTCAAAGGAACCAAGCGACATAGTCTTTTAGTGTATATATAGACTGCTTGGTCTTTGAGCATTTTCACTTCCATACATACAAAGATCACAGTGAGACGATTCATTTGACTACATTGTCTTGTACTCATGATGGTTGGCAAGCGGGTCGCACAAAACGGATGCTCATCTGCCTAAGCGCGTCATGAGTCACTTTGGGTACATGTAGTACATTCCCAAGCATCCTTACGAGCTTGCTCCTTCTATGGTGAAACGCATGGATATGAATGTGTTGTTTGAGGATTATGAAAATCATTTTGTGTCTGATGAGGCTCATAGTACCTTAGCACCAGACGACTGGAGCTACGTGGACGATTTTCATAATCATCAAACAACTTATCCATATCCCTGTGTTTCACCATGGGGCAGATTCAGAAGGATGCCTGGGAATATACTGCACGTATCCAAACTGATGCATGACGCGCTCAGACAGATGAGCAGTTGTCTTGCGCGACCCGCATGCCAACCATCTCAAGTACAACACAATGTCATCAATGAGAATCGTCTCAAGGTGATTTACGTATGTATGAAAGTGTAAATCCTCAAAGACCAAGCGGTTTATATACATCTTGAACGACTTTGTCGCCTGGTTCTCTCAAAGTGGGGCGAATGCAGCGGCACGAGGCTTCTCTTCAGTATACCTAGGATTAAGTGACCAATTGGATATGTGAGGAAAATGTCGTAGATGCATCTCCGGAAATAACTAAAGTTTAACAACAACAAAAAAAGACATGTCCTGGAAATACACTTCCGGAAACACAGAGGTAAATTGGAGTTTTCATAGGGTTCTTTTCAAATACATGAGGTGAGATAAAAAATCCCCGGAGAAAATAGGTGAAAGCAGAGAAATTAACATGTCACCCCCTAAATTAAACAGACCCCCATTTTTTATTCCACTTTTATCCTTGAATGAGATGCACGCTATTTTCGGACGAAATTTTCAGTAGATGGTTGAAATTTCCGGTACCGTCCAAATTTTCGATACACCCTACAAAATTTCTGATGTGTGTAAATTTTTGATAGTGTATTTAAAATTTCCGGTGTACCGAAAATTTCAAATTAACTAAAATTTTCGGTAGTTATAAAAACATGAATTTTAAACAGATGAGATTTTGCCGACATATTTAAATGTTTCTGATTTCTGGTAGTTATAAAAACATGGTTTTTTAAACGGCTCTAACACCCTGACGGCGGGTGCGCATGCTGCTCAGCCATCTATTTTTGGTGAGAATCAATCAGAGGACGGCTTTCATCCTGTAACTCTGAAGCATGCACCTCGTCAGTCTGGGCTTCAACATCAGCTCTATTAGTGGTCTGTCTCATAATAGAACCATATTTGCCTCTGGTCCTCACTACAAAATAAGAAAATATTAGAAAAATATAAACTACCAAAAATTTCTAAATTTTCGGTATTTTTCAAAAAAAAAATTGAACTATCAGAAATTTTAAAATTTCCGATATTCTGTGACGTACCGCAAATTTCAAAATTTCTGGTATAAATGGTAAATGAAAATATCGGATATTTTGAAATTTCCGATACGAAAATACTGGATATTTTGAAATTTCCGATACAAAATACCATAATTTCACAAATCTACCGTAAATTCTTACTTATTCACAAAATTTCCGATATCGCCTTGAAATTTCCAATATCGTCCAAAATTTTGAAAAATCCAATTAATCACGTAAATTTAAAATTTGAGATGAATAATTTGTATCTAGACAATTTGATCTTTTTATACGAATTAGAGGATGTCATGTATAATGTAAGAGGTGGCCAATTCATTTCTTGTGAAAGTGGATCTACTAATGACACCTGCAGTTTAGACAAGTTGAGAGTTTTGGACCCAAACTAGCGAGTTGTCCACCCTACTATAACATCTACTAGCAGCATTATACACCTGTAGCATAAAAAGAGTTGGTAAAACAATTCTCTTCCAAAGAAACCTCAGTTTTGTTTATGGAGTCATCTTTTTAAGAGATAATATAAAACAAATGTTCAAGGGACAAATCTAACTTCCATATTATATGACACTTGTTAAACATGTTGAATACAACAAAAAGACTTGATAACGGGTTCTAAAATTGTGTTGTGAGGATATAAATAACATATGGGTTCAAAAATTGTGTTGGGAGAATATAAATAACATATGGGTTCAAAAAAAAACTTAGTGAGATAGATTTTACAAATACGACAATTACTACGAAGTATTTCATCCGTTTTAAAATAAGTGTCGTTTAAAATTTTTGCACACAGATTAAAAAATACAATCATATTATCATGAGACATTACACTTTTATTAAATTAGCCTTATTAATTTATTGAAAGTAGTGTCCAGAGTAATAATTATATGACACAATTGAAAAAATAGCTATTATTACTGCATTGAAAAATAAGAATGACATTTATTTTGAAATAAATTTTTTTCTCTAGAACAACACTCATTTTAAACGGATGGAATACTAAGAGAAATAACATATGGGTTAAAAAAAACACAAGTGAGATGGATTTTACAAATGCCACAATTACTATGAAGTACTAAGAGAAACAAATCTTAATGAAACAATGAGAATGCACATAAACATGATATAAAAGTAATGAAAAAGTAATAATACATAATGATAATACATAATTTAAACATTACATTGGAGTAATGAACATGAATGTGCGAAATAAGAGACCCAGTGATAGACATAATGATTCATAATCCAAATAATTCGTTATGTACTATTTCTAAGCCTTCACTTGGTTCGGCGTTTCATACCGCATTCCCGAACTTCTGAAGTTGCTTCGAAGCAGACACACACAGGGTAACCCCGTGAATTGGATAAAACTCGAATACACTGAGTTTTCTTGCCTCACAACAAAGTGGGATATTTAGCATCTAGAAAGTCTCTAAGGGTACAAGCAGCCTTATGACCACCCATTATTTCAGCTAGCTGTTCTACCGGAAGAAGTGCAAGTTCTGCCAAACTCTTACACCGGTCCAGTATGGCCCTATAATTAGAATCTGAAACACCTGGAAGTCGTCTTAGAAACTCTACGGCCGATGTGTTGTAATTCTCAGCCCTATGAATACAACATTAAACTCCAAACGTTACATTATAAACAGAATAAATCAGTGTATAGAAACTCATAAGTGACACATTTTGATAGAAAGAGTCTGACTCTGAGTTCTACAGTTCAAATGTTTATGGAGTCATGCGTGGAACCCGTGCATATTGATGGGCAAGGAAAGGTACTTGTTAAGACATGGCAATTCTAATTTATGGAAAATTTGCCTAAAAACATAAAGCCTACATATATCAATATTTGTCGCTAACAATGTCTCATAAACCAATATCACTTGAGCATGGAAACAGGAGATGCAAAAACATGGCTTTAAAACTATGGGAGAAAACAGTTCATTAATGTTTTCATAAAATTACAACAATTAAAATGCAAGATGAGATTAACTTCCCATAAACTCGAATTTTCACTCCATCCTTGGTGGCATTAAACTACCTACAAGTTAAAACAATGAAAAAGCAACTCACCTCACATCGCTTTCCACAATTCCTTCTTCTGATGGGACACCCACTCTCATTGCTTTTGTTTCATCTGGTTCATCTTGATTTGCCTTCAGCGAAGCAAATATTTCAGAAGTAGCATGCAAACTCCGAGACCAGATTATTCGTAGCCGGGGAAAATGTAGAGCAAGCAATGACAACTTTGATATAATGCTATTGGGTGTCACATCATCACCAATATCACTGGCAGACTGGAAAGTATATTCACAACAGATCAAATGCCTTTCACTATTCCACAAAACAAATGCTAATCTAACAGTACCTTAGAAATATATCCATGTATGATGCAACATGTTTGAGTAATCATTTATATTAAATGCAAAGGAAGAAACAATAACTTTCTACCAGCACAGAAGTCATACCGAAATTCAAACATTATGCTCAGGTCAGCCGAACCCAAATATTGGTACGAGTTTGGACATTAAAAGTAACGGCAGGCATTCTTATAAATAGGTTGCCTGCCTGTCAAAACAACAACCCCCTTGAATCTGGACAAGTCATTAATAGAAGAAGACAATGTTAACTGGTCTGCATACCTGAAATGAGAAGCTCTTATCCTGTGAAAACTCAATCAAGAGCACAGGTATCCTATAATATCGCACCATTGTTTCCACCTGATTGTATAGACGACCCGATGTGAAACTCTGGAAGAGATCTTGAATACTTTTTCTTTCCACACAAATTAAAGGTGATAGGATATAGTCACCAACTTCAAGGGTCACCGGAATTATGCGCATTCCCTTTTGATGAAGAATATTTGGAAGGCTGCTCATGAATTCCCGCATGTCCACAATGATCTGAAATTCCCAAACTATAAGCTCCCTGGCAAGGAAGTGGGCATAGAATATAAACATCAAAGATAACTTAGATAAGAAAATATCACAAACCTGCATTTCTTTATCAACCTCCTTTCTCCCTCCTGCTTTTCTGGTTATTGAGTTCTGGGCAGTATTTAAATCTGAATCTGGGGTAAAGTTCAATCCTAAACCATGCCCACTCTGATAAACAACAGGCGAAAAGCACCAGTCAGAAAAGAGAGGAAACCAATGTAAGCTTAAATTAGTATGGGCTGATCACTTTCCATGCCCACGCTTCACAATCTTATAATGAAGGCAACCATAACCAGAACAATGGACCCAAGCAGCAACCAGAAACAAAAAAGAAAAACATAAGGAAGAAACATATATAGTAAAACAAACCTGATCAACTGGAATCATCATCATAGATTTTTGCCTGATCAAAGATTCAAAGGCTCCATTCTCTCTACGTATACTTGCCTCAAACTTCTGAACCTCAGTTGAATCTTCATAGAAAATAAAATATACCTTCAACTTTTTTGAGGGATTCTCAGCTTTGTAGACTTCAATTTCTCTTACAAAGGTCATGTCTGGATGGTAGACGACTATTATAGAGGGATTTAATATGTCCAGTATAGGCTGATCACTTTCTAGGGCATAAAAATGTACCGGTGGTAGTGGCTTCCCATCTTTTGCCATGGCACTAGGACAGGTATGCCTCCGAAGAACCGTGTCGTCTACAGATATTCCCCCGTGTTCGGTTTCACAGAATCTACCCGCACTGACAGGACTAGTTTCATCCATATGGGCTTCATTTTTTGTATCAGACATCCCCATTTTACCACTTGTCACGTCCTCCTTATTGTTACTTTGAACACCAGAGTCATCAATAATGATTGGGCCATTTCTATTTCCCAACTTTCTCTTGCCTTTCCCACGAACATGTCCCTCCAGATTAGACTGAGGAGTATCTTCGACAACATGATTATTTTCAGCAAGATTTCGCAGTTTTGAAGCTGCTGCCATAAGTGCATCATGCTCCTGCTTATTAACGCCACTGGTTTCTGTATTCTGTGCAGGGGATATGGGAGTGACTCCATTAAGAATTCCAAAACCCTTAGGTTCCTTTGACTTCTTTTTCTTATTCTTATGCACTACATCCCGCAGCTGTACTTTGTTTAGTAAGTACTTTTTCCATTCGTCTTGCATGACCTTCACAAATGATAAAAGATAATAAACAAAATATGAAAGTCAGTTTCTTTCGCGTCTTACACTTATACACTATCTACCAGCACAAATTATCAAGGAACCAAGACTAACAAATTTCCATCATAATCACAAAAAAGTAAAGTAATAAGCTATGTACAATAGAAACATATAAACAACAAGTAACTTTTAATACAATTGTAGCAGAAGCTTTATTTCTATCCACAAATTTCATAAAAATTAGAGAGCAATTACTTGTCTTTGTCCCACTACGTTATTTCCACTTTGTATTGACTAAAGAATATAAACAAGTCTGCAACAAAAGAATATATAGGCAATAAAAAAAAGAGTTTCTACATAAATACTCTTTCACTTCACATGGAATTCAACAGAAATGAATGTGAGAAAATTGAAAATATATGGTAATCATCACACATCAGCATCACACACAGCAATGAAAAGAAACAAAACCGAAGTTCACAGGCAAAATATTGATTTGCAGAATTTGTGCATTCAAATCTGTCTCTAAAATCTTCTATAACTCTAATTATCCGAAATTGCCATCAAGAGTGCAAAGTCCTTATTATTTTGCCTCATAAATTCATAATATTTCTAAAGAATCAAAACTATCAGAACAAACTCTTGTTAAGTTTTTCAGCATTGAATTGGTCTGGATAAGTTTGGTTATATGCAATGAAGGTGATAAGCCACTAGACCATACAAAATTAACTACTGTCACCGATTGAACCAAGTGAGGAATTCTACTCAGATCACGCCTAGTTATATAAGATGACATAAACAAAGATAACCTTTTTTGGACTGTTGGTGATGCATTCTTCAAGTTGTAAGCATGACCTTTCATCTTTACATGCCACCAATACAATGCCATTGCTGGTGTCTTCACCTTCAGCCAACACTTCTTCCCTCAACATGCCTTGCTTTTGTCTTTCCTCCTCTACCTCTTCAAGAATATCCTATAATGACATATGATCAAATCATTCAGTCCAAAATATCCAACATTTATCAAACTCAATTATTTTCACAAAACCCACTTTAGGTCGTCCTATTTTGAAAATCTGAATGAATGAGAAAAGTATTAGTCAAATCAAACGATGCCAAAGTAGTCTTTGTCTCACATCTCAAATACCCAATCAAATCAAACAAAGATAACACGTAGACTTTCTAGAATAGGAACTCACTGACTCACACGTAAGACCTTCCACTTTGGTGCTTCTTCCAAGACTTCCTCCAAAACTATGCCATTTGAACTGGTTGAGGAAGTGACATCAGCTGCCACACAAGCATCCGAAATAAAGTTAAACAGAAAAAACAAATACCATTCATCTGCTTGGAGTGGCACATCTCATTTCCTTTCTGCCTCTTTTTATTTATTTTTTTAATGCTAGTTTTTCATTTAAATAAGCAAAACCACAAAATCACAACTTATGCCAAGCACCAAAGAAAACATAACAAGTTATTACCTTCTTCAGTGTCTTTGTTATCCCCTTTGACTTTTTTCTTTTTGTTTTTGACACCTTTACTAGTCTCGTCCAATTTCATACCATCTGACCTCACAAGATGATAAACACGTTTCTTTGCATAGTCAAATATCTTATAGCTCGCCTCTGCAAATATCCAAACAGATCGAAAACTCTCCGACACTCTAAGTGTATCCAAATATTTCAAGTAAGTCACCGCGTCATACCTATCAGAAAAATGGCACACAACAATCAGTGCCTAAATAAATAAATAAAAGGTCTGCAACCACAATCTAATCTATGACATTGAGGTTTTTGATGTCCCTAGAACCGAATTTGACCCAAATTTTCCACACTAGAAAGAATTATAGTGCAATTTAAAACTTGATAAGCAACAACATTATAGATGCTTCAAATAGAATACATATGCAATGAAAGAACAAACAGCAAAAGAACCTGACTAGATAATCCAACAACTTCCTCAAGGTCTTAAGATCGGAGACAAGTTGCTTAGTCTGTTTCCCCAAAGTATGCCAAATAGGATCCAACTGTCTCCTGACAATCTCATCAAACGACTTAAACAACCCATTCTCCACAGTCAAATCCTCCACATCAACTTTATTCGTCTTCCTCATCTCCTTCAAACACGCACCCATAACTTCAACAATCGCCTTCTGAATCCCCACCATGTACTTACTCATCGGAACCCTAATATCCACAACATCCGGCGGATCCATCTCAAGCTCCTGCGAAACATAAACCTGAAACCTCGGCCACAGGTGCATCTTCCGGATGTGCAAACACTTCATAGTCCTCTCCGCCTTCGCAAAACCGGAAACCATCGCTTGTGGCCTATCGGAGAAAACACGAACAAACGCGGTCCGATTGAGAGAACGGAAAATCCTAACGATAAAAGCTTCAGTTGAAGTCTCTGTAACAGAATGAGCATTGAGGATGATGATACCGGAGATAATGGATGTAGGTAGTTTGTTGGTGAGGAGATCAACGATGAGGATTCTAGGGGTAATGAAACAGATGGAGCCGGAGGAGTAGAGGGAGTGGCGGTGGTTTATAGGGAGGTCGGCGGTGATTTCAACGGGGATTTGGTAGAATTGGGGGTTTAGGGTTTTGAGATGGAAATTGATTTTGGATTTGAGAGAAGCGGAGGAAGGGGATAGGATGAGGAGTGTGCCCTGGGAAGTGGAGTGAAGAAGGAGAAGAGATGAAATGAGCTTTGATAGAGAGAGGCCGGAAGAGAGAATGACGAGACCGCCATTGGTGTCTTCGAGAAGCTCTGTGATTATGTGTTGGTGGAATTGGAGAACCATTGTCGAGGAAAATTTGAAAGTTTGATTCGGGTGTTTGCGGTGAACGCGAACTACGATTTGTGTGTTGCTTGGTTTGAAATTGAAAATTATGAATGCACTCTGTTTTGAGTTTCAACTGTAAACCAACCGCGAAATCGTCCCGCGAGATTCTTTGTTCGGGATTTTGTAAAAACTTTATTTTAATAACTATTTTTAGTCACAATTTCTTCCGAAGTTTATTTTACCTACTTCCCTTCTTTTCCAATTCATGTCTCATATTTCTTACTTTCATTTTATTTTTGTTCATAAAAATGAGAGAAATTTTTGTGTATATTTACATAAACTTAAAGATGTGGTATTATGAACACATGTTGTCTCGTTAAAAATTTTATTAGAAAAAGTTTATTGGGTTAAAAACATTAATAAAGAAAAAAGAGTATAACATTATGCTCTCTCTCAATAGAACACATTAATTTTTCTTCAAAAATCTCAAAGGTTTCGCATTCCAATATTTTTCAAGTGCTTCCTGAAAATTGATGTGAGAAGTTCCTTTGTGAAGAGATCTGTCATATTATCACTCGAACGAATGTATTGAATATCAATCTCTTTGTTTCTTTCGAGTTCTTGTGTGAATGAGAAGAATTTTGGAGGGATGTGCTTGGTTCTATCAGTTTTAATGTAACCTTCTTTCATCTAAGTAACACGTCCAGCATTGTCTTCATATAAAATTGTTGGATTTTTATATGTTGTTAAATCAGACGTTCCTTGGATATGTTGAGTCACTGATCTTAACCATCTACACTCTTTGCTTGCTTTATGAAGGGCAATTACTTCAACATGATTTGAAGAAGTTGCTACAAGTGTTTGCTTTTGAGATCTCCATGATATTGCAGTGCTGCCATACGTGAACACATATTCAGTATGTAATTAAGTATTATGTGGATCTGACAAATATCTTTCATCTGCATAACCAAACAAAACTGGGTTTGTATTGTTAGAATAAAATAAACCAAGATCAAATGTACCTTAGATATCGAAATATCTGTTTTATTCCATTTCAATGTCTCTTTGTAGGACATATATTGAACCTTGCTAGTAAATTCATTGCAAAAGATATATCAGGTCTTGTATAGTTGACAAGGTACATGAGTGTCTCAATGGCACTAAGGTATGACACTTTTGGACCAAGATCCTCTTCATTACTTTCCTTAGGCCTAAAAGGATCTTTTTCAATATTAAGTATTCTACCCATCATTGGACTACTCAAAGGGTTTGTCTTGTCCATGTTGAACTTTTTCAACACCCTTTCTGTATAATTTGATTGATGTACCAATATACCATTTTTAGTATACTCAATCTGTAAACCAAGACAGTATCTAGTTTTTTCCAAATCTTTTATTTCAAATTCTTTCTTCAAATAATTTCTTGCTCCTTTGATTTCTTTATTAGTTCCAATGATATTTAAGTCATCGGCATAAACAATAATTATTACAAATCCAAATATTATTTTTCTTATAAAAACACAAGGGCAAATAAGATTATTATCATATCCTTCTTTAAGCAAATATTCACTTAATCTATTATATCACATGTGTCCTGATTTTTTTAGCACATACAATGATCTTTGCAACTTAATCCCATACATTTCTTTTGGTTTTGATGTATCAGGCCTTTTAAGTCCTTCTGGGATTTTCATGTATATATCACTATCAAGTGATCTATACAAATAAGCAATAACAACATCCATAAGGTACATATCAAGATTATTAAATATTGGCAAACCAATTAAATCACGAAAATTAATAACATCCATAACAGGAAAATATGTTACCTCATAACCAATTCATGGTCTTTGGCAAAAAAACATGTGCAACAAGACGAGCTTTATATTTGACAATCTCGTTTTTCTCATTTCGCTTTTTCACAAAAATCCACTTGTATCCAATAGGTTTTACACCTTTAGGTATAGCCATGATAGGGGCGAATACTTTCTGGTTATTAAGAGAATTTAATTCAGTAGCTATAGCATCCTTCCAATTTTTTCAATCATGTCTATTTTGACATTCATTCATAGTTTGGGGTTCGGGATCATCATATTTATTTATAACCTCGCATGCAACTGAGAATGAGTATAGCTCATCAATATTCATACCTTTTTGGTTCAATAAATTTCCTGTATTAACATAATTAATTGAAATCTCGAGATCATTCTTGTTTTCAGCTTCATTATCAATGATCTTATTACCATCTTCTTGTGTTTCTTCGAGAGAACGCTTTTCAATCATGGATTTATTATCATCTAGCATCTTTTAAAAATCACTTTCAATCAAATTCACCTTTTCTATTCCCTTTCGTTTTTGGAGATTTTTGTTTTAGATCCCATAGATCAGCCACACTTCAAGTGTGACTTAGATGTACTTGCTACATCATTTATTTTTGAAATCTCAATCTGAGATGAGACATTTACAGCTGGTACATGTGACTTTGTAACTATTTCCAAATCAGTAAATGAATACGACAGTTGATTTGCTAAATTTTGTAAGTGCATAATTTTTTTATATTTTCTTCCCATGATTTATTATATGGGTCCAAATGAAATAAATGTGGTACATACCATGATATTTCATTTTCTGATTATTTGTTTTCTCCCCCTGATGTTGGAAATTTTGTTTGGTCAAAATAATAATCAGCAAATCTTGCCTAAAAAACACCACTCGTTAAAGGTTCAAGATATCTAATAATAGATGATAATTTATATCCGACGTATATTCTCAATCTCCTTTGAGGTCTCATCTCTGTTCTTTGTAGTGGAGCTATTGGGACATATACTGCATAACCAAAAATCTTTAAATGTGAAATATTAGGTTCCTTACCAATTGCAAGTTGATAAGGGGTATGTTTATGATCAGCACTCGGCCTTAAACATATGAGTGTTGCAACATATAAAATTGTATGACCCCAAATAGTAACTGGTAGTTTAGTTCTTATTATTAATGGTCTAGCAATATATTGAAGACGTTTAATTGATGACTCAGCTGGATCATTTTGTATATGCACATGAGGAACATGATGTTCAACAATAATTCCAATTGACATACAATAATTATTAAATAATTCAGATGTAAATTCATCAGTATTGTCAAGTCGGTTTTATTTATGGTATAATCAGGGAATTAAGCTCTTAGTTTAATTATTTGTGCAAGAAATTTCACAAAGGTCATATCACGACTTGACAATAAACATACATATGACCATCTACTAGATGCATCAATTAATATCATAAAGTACCTGAATGGTCTTGATGATGGATGAATAGGTCCACATATATCACCTTGAATTCTTTCAAGAAATGTAGGTGATTCTATCTGAATTTTTCCTGGTGAATGTTTTGTTATTAGTTTGCTAAAAGAGCAAGTTTCACATGGTCTATCTTCTTTTGTAAGTTTTAAACTTTTCAATGGATGGCCCGTGTACTTTCAACTATTTTACGCATCATTATTGTGTTGGTGTAAGCCCTAGAGACCAATACTTTGGGTACTTGTATCGAATTATTTATTAATAATAAAAGACATTTCTTTATTATATTTGTTTTTCCAAAATAATAGAGCCCCTAGAATAGTTTGTTTGTTTAATGAAATATTGACTGTGACTTAATCATGAGATCCCATTAAACATAAGAACATTATTCTTAAAATATATGTAGTCGAGAATTGCAAAGTGGGATAACATTAAAGCATTGAGATTATTATGAAGATAGACTTATGATCACACCTCATGAATCATGGATAAGGAGTTATCAAGTCTTGACATAGGTATGAATATTAAGAGTAATATTTATACTGGATTGAACCACTATGAGAATACTACATAGAATGTTATGCAAGGTGTCATAAGTTATTCTCATGGTGATAATGGTGTATACCACCCTTCGACCTAAAACCACTATGGACCTTAAATATGGAGTTAAGTACTTTATTGTTGACCAAACGTTATCTATAACTGGATAACCATAAAGATAGTTGATGGGTACTTCACAAAGCATGTTGAGGGACATGAGTGACCTAGATGGAATTTGTCCATCCTGCATAACAGGATAAATATCTAAATGCCCAATATTGAACTAGACAAGGATGACACAGTGTATGCCTTGTGTTCAATATAGACATAAAGGCAGAAGAGTAATTGTACACACAAATATTATCACAGAAAGATTTTGTCAGATCACATGACATTTTCTTGAATTGGATAGCAGTGATGTGTTGCTAGATATCGCTCACTATTTATTATGTTAAATGTGTAATTTAATATAATTGCCAATGTCATGAAAACCTACAGGGTCAAACACATATGGACAGGTTGATGAGAGATAGAGTAAATAAGGAACATCGTAAGGTAGGGTGCACTTAAGTGAAATATGGAATGTGGTAAGGTACCATGCGCTTAAGTGATGTGTGGTATATCATAAGGTATGATACCCGTATGCTTAATTGGGCTTTTAGCTTGCAGTCTTAATTGGGCTTTTAGCTTGCAGCCTTCATAAGTGGTTCTATAAATAGAACCCTTATGCTGAAGCATTTGATTTGATGAAAATTAGGTCTTGATTTCTAGCTGTATATTTTGTCTCATTCTCTCACTCAAAGTTTTCGTTCATAAGCAGCTAGCACTGTGTCCGGAAGTGATTTGTTCGTGTGGACTGAGTAGAGATGTTGCTATTCATCAATGTTCGTGATCACAACATCAAAGGTCTGAATTATCACAAGAGGTAATGATTTCTATCACTGACCATGCCCATTTGTAAGGATCACTAAAGGAAAATTTTAATTTTCCGTTGTGTTTTGGATCGCAATTTTCTTTCATATTGAACCAGGGTGACCTAAATGGTCATTGCCATAAAGTCACAATTTTGGGATATTCTTTTACTACTAAATTGCATTCAATTTCATGTATATATGTATAATGTAATTCAGAAGGCAATTTTGGTAGTTTTTCTAAAGTTTTTTCCTTTCCCAAAACATTAGCAG